CACTCCTTTTGATGCAGCCCAAGGTATGGTTGGCCTTCTGGACTGCAAGTGCACAATGCCAGCTCATGTTAAGTTTCTCATTGACCAACACCCCCAAGTCCTTCTCTGCAGGGCTGCTCTGAATCTCTTCTCTGCACAACCTGTATCTGTGTCTGGGATTGCTCCAATCCACGGGTAGGACCTTGCACTTGATACAGTAAAACTTCATAAGGCTGGCATCAGCCCACCTCACAAGTGTGTCAAGGTCCCTCTGGATGGCATCCCTTCCCTCCAGTGTATCAGCTGAACCACACAGCTTGGTGTCATCAGCAAATTTGTTGAGGGCACACTAAATCCCACTGTCCATGTCACTAACAAAGACATTGAACAAGACTGGTCCCAGCATCAGTCCCTGAGGGACACCACTCATTACTGGTATCCAGCTGGACGTTGAGCCATTGACCACAACTCTTTGTGTGGCCATCCAGCCAGTTCTTTATCCACTGAGTGGTCCACTTATCAAACTGGTGTCTCCTCAATTCAGAGACAAGGATGTAATGTGGGACAGTGTGAAGCGCTTTGCACAAGTCCAGATGATGTCATATGCTCTACCCCTGTCCATCAGTTCTGTAGCCTCATTATAGAAGGCCACCAAACTGGTCAGGCAGGATTTCCCCTTAGTGAAGCCATGCTGGCTGTCATCAAGCACCTTGTAGTTTTTCATGTGCCTTAGCATGCCTTCCAGGAGAATCTGCTCCAACATTTTACCAGTGTCGTGGTTTAACCCAACCAAACAGCTTGTTCACTTACTCCCAGTGAGTGGTGCCAGGCGTTAGTCCGCCCCCCCCCTTCCCCAGGGGCTGCCGCCCCCTTTCCCCGCTCCCAGAGGGGTGGGGAGGAGAATCGAAGGAATGCAACTCCCACGGGCTGAGATAAGAACAGTCCAGCAACTAGTGTACAATGCGAATCACCACTCCTACCACCAACGACAACAATGATAAGAGAAAACAGCAAAGGAAAGGAGTACAATACCACGCGCCGAACCACCAGTCCGACCCGGCCGACCCCCTCTCCTTCCGGGTCCCTCCCAGTTCCCCCCTCGGCATGACGTGCTGTGGTATGGAATACCTCTTTGGTCAGTTTGGGTCAGGTGTCCCAGGACAACCCAGGACAACCAGGCACAGAGGTGAGACTGACTGGTCTGTAATTCCCCGGGTCATCCATTTTCCCCTTCTTTAAAATGGGGGTTATATTTCCCTTTTTCCAGTCATCATGAACTTCACCTGACTGCCATGATTTTTCAAATACGATGGACAGTGGCTTAGCAACTTCATTCGCCACATCCTTAAGGACCTGCTGATGAATTTCATCAGGTCCCATGGACTTGTGCACATTCAGGTTCTTAAGATGGTCTCGAACCAGATCCTCTCCTACAGTGGGCCTAGGGTCTTCATTCTCACAGTCCCTGCATCTGCCTTCCAAGACTTTGGTGGTGTGGTCAGAGCATTTGCCAGTGAAGACTGAGGCAGATAAGTCATTCATAACCTCAGCCTTCTCCAAATCCTGTGCAGCCAGTTCTCCTGATAGCTTCCAGAGGGGCCCACATTGTCCCTCATCTGTCTTTTATTCGCTACGTACCTATAGAATCCCTTCCTGTTATCTTTCACATCCCTAGCCAAGTTTAATTCTAACTTGGCCTTAGCTTTCCTCACCTGGTCCCTAGCTTCCCGGACAACATCCCTGTATTCTTCTCAATCCACCTGTCCTTGCTTCCACCTTTTATAAGCCTTTTTTTTTCCCTCAAAGTTTCCTCAGCAGCACCTTATCCATCCAAGGAGGTTTTCTGCTGCACTTCCTTCTAGTTGGGATGCAACACTCCTGAGCTTGTAGCAGGTGATCCTTGAGTATCAGCCAATAGCCTTGGGTCCCCCTGCCCTCTAGGGCTATATCCCATGGAACCTTACTAGGCAGGTTCCTGAAGAGGCCAAAGTCTGCTCTCTTGAAGTCCAGGGCAGTGAGCTTACTGCACACTCTTCTCACTGTCCTGACGATCTCAAACTCAACCATCTCATGATCACTACAACCAAGGCTGCCCCGGAGCATCCTATTTCCAACAAGCCCTTCCCTGTTGGTGAGCACAAGGTCAAGCATGGCACCTCTCCTTTTCGGCTCCTCTATTACTTGCAGAAGGAAGCTGTCTTCCACACAATCAAGGAACCTTCTGGATTGCTTCTGCCAGGCCTTACCGTCATTACAACAGATATCAGGGTGCTTGAAGTCCCCCATGTGGACAAGGGCCTGCGAGTGTGAGGCTGTTCCTATCTGTCTACAGAGTGCTTCAGTCTGAGAAACAAAAGCACTACTGTCGTGGTTTAACCCACAGCCAGACAGCTTGTTACCCACTCCCCCCCTTCTTGCCCTCCCCCTACTCCTGGGGGAACGGAGAGGAGAATCAAAAAGAAATGCAACTCCCACGGGTTGAGATAAGAACAGTTTAGTAACTAAGGTATAACACAAATCACTACTGCTACCACCAATAATAGTAATGATAAAGGAAATAACAAGGGAAGAGAATACAACACCCCATCACCAGCCGACCAATAACTCGCCCCCCCCAGCCTGACCAAGCACCGACCGATACCTCCTCCAACCCTGCCGTCCACCTAGTCCTTCCGGCTAACTCCCAGTTACATCCTGGGCATGACGTGCTGTGGTATGGAATACCTCTTTGGTCAGTTTGGGTCAGGTGTCCTGTCTCTGCTTCCTCCCGGCTCCCCTCCTCCCTGGCAGAGCATGAGGCCCACAAAGTCCTTGGCCAAACCAAAACATCATTGTTTTTCAGCTCTGTTCCCAGCTGAAAGTCAAAACACAGCCCTGCACCAGCTACCAAGAAAGAGAAAAATGACTGCCACTGCTAAACCCAGGACAACTACTTTTGCCCAGAAGGCCACTGGTCAGTATTTCTTGCTATGCTTTAATTCTGTCCTTCTTCACATTTGGTACCAAAACCCCAAATCTCTTGGCCGTATTGCCATACCACAGATTCTCTTAGGAACAGAATAATATAAGGATTGCAGGGAACTTGTTTATGGAAAGGAGATTATTTTTTGTCACCTGCTTTATTTCCATTTAAAAAATACCCCTAAACAACAACAAGAAAATAAGAAAAATCTTCAGAATTTTAATTCTGTCCTGGATTCAGCAGTCATTTTTTTCCTCAGTAGCTCAGTAGCCTGGGAACAACACTGATAACACTAGTGGTTTTAGTTGTTGCTAAGTCATATTTACTCTGACCAAGGACTTTCTGAGTCTCTTGTTCTTCCAGGGAGGAGGGGAAGATGGGAGGAAGTAGAGACAGGACATCTTACCCAAACTAGCCAAAGAGATATTCCATACCACAGCATGTCATGCCCAAGATATAAACTGGGGGCAGTTACCCAGAAGAGTGAGGTCACTGCCCGGATCAGACTGGATATCGGTTGGCAGGTGGTGAGTAGTTGCATTTTCTTCCCTAGTTATTTCCTTTGTCATTATCATTATTGGTGGTATCAGTAGTAGTTTGTTTTATACCTTAGTTATTTGACTGTTCTTATCTGAACCTGTGGGAGTTACATTCTTTCAATGTGGCCATGTGGATGGTGAGTGTGGAGAAGACAGGGGCAGGATAGCCCTTCTCTCCTGCTCTTGCAGGCAGATGTGTGCTGCGATGGAGCTGCCACTGCCCTTCCCACAGGTCACGTCCATCCCCATCACTCTGCAACAGGAGAGAACTAAGCATCATGCCCCCTTGCTCCCAAATGATGCCGCCTCTTCTGTGCCCTTGGTGGCAGGGGGACACTGTGGAAGGAGTGTGGGAGCACTCTCCTGGTGCTTCTCGACAGCTCTTTGCTCTGTTTCCCTTGGCAGCAGGCGGGACCCACAGGAGCAGGAGGAGGCTGCCCTGGCCATTGGCACAGCCAGGCACCTTGGCTGCGGCAGAGGCACCAGGACCATCGGGCTCTGCTGGTGCAGGACCTCTGTTTGGCTGGCCCCTGGCAGATCTGTGCAGCCAGGGCAGCATGCTGCCACAGCCCATCCAGGTAAGCCAGTCTGGGCAGGGTTTCCCCATCCTGTCCCGTTCCATCCCAACCCCATCCCGCTGGCTCCTCCAGAGAGAGGTTGTCCCCAACACCTACCTCAGTGCCTGTCTCCAGCCCAGCAGCTCTCCTCCTCTGTGCCCTCAGGACCTGCTGGCTCTGCTCAATGAGCATGGCCCATCCACAGAGGGGATCTTCCAGCTGGCAGCCAGCCAGCGCACCTGCCGCAAGGTCAGGGAGGCCCTGGACAGCGGGGTGCTGGTGCAGCTGGAAAACCAGCCCGTGCTGCTGCTGGCTGTCCTCTTGAAGGTGAGCCCTGCTGACCCAGAGCCCTGCAGCTCCTGGCTCTCTTGGTGCTGATGGGCACCTGCGGGAGCACAAGCACAAACCCAGCCACCTGCTCATGAGGCAGAGGGCTGGGGATGCTGTGGGTGCTCCTGAGGGCAGTGTCCAAAGCGTCACATGGAGCCCTTGGCACTGCAGGACCTCCTCCGGAATATCCCCTCCAAGCTCCTCAACACCCAGCTGTTCAGGGAGTGGATGAGCGCCATGGAGAAGACAGCAGACAGGAGAGACTGGCAGCACTAAGAGAGTAAGCGTGGCAGCAGCCAGCAGGGACTGGCACAGCCTGGGACTCCACTGCAGAGCAGTGACCTTCCTGAAATAGCCATGGCTCCTCCAAGCCACCTCCTGCTGCTGTGGGGTTTATGTTTGGTGGGAAAGGAGCACCAAAAAGCTTTTCTCTCTGGGGAGCACTTCCCACAGGTGTTGGGGCTTGTTCCAACAAGGGCCTCTTTCAGAAGGGCATGGAGGGAGGGAGGTGGCCGTATCTCAGCAGAGGCAGTCCCTCTGCTGTAGAGGAGGCAGTGGCCTTGAGTGAGATCAGCCTGGGAGACCTGTGTTGTCAACACCAACTTCATTAACGCTGTGCTCCTTTTCCCTCAGGGTGGCCAGCAAGTTACCAGAGGCCAACCTGCTCCTGCTCCTGCACTTGCTGTCGCTGCTTAGCAGCATCAGCAGGAATGTGGCCACAACCAAGACGACTGCTGAAAACCTGGCCATCTGCCTGGCACCAAACCTCCTGAGCCCACCCGATTATCTGCCCCTGGATGTCCTGGCTCTGGAGACAGGGAAGGTACGCTGTGTTCACCACCCGGCTACAGTGTCCCCAGCCCATCCCAGCTTTGCTGCTCAGACGGCCCTGGCTGCCTCTTCATGTGAGCAAAGTCATGGGGCAGCAGCTGGGAAGAGCAGCCCCACGGCCACACCTTCCTGCACAGAAGTGCAGGTTAGGCTGGGAAAGACTCTTTGAGCCCTCATCAGCCCCCTTGGCTGATGAGGGCTCATGCTCTAAGGCATGAAACAATATTCATTTATTGTAACTTGCATTGTGAGGTACAAGTCAGCTTGACTTATAATTTTAGGGATTTTCATTTTTTTCCTGGAATTCCAATACTCCATACATTCCAACTCAGAGGATGCAGATTTTCTGAACAATTGTAAAATTCTTGCTTAGTCATATGTCCTGGGTTTAGCAATATCAGCCATTTTTTCTCTTTCTTGGTAGCTGGTGCAGTGCTGTGTTTTGACTTTCAGGCTGGGAACAGAGCTGATAATAATGATGTTTTGGTTTGGTCAAGGACTTTGTGAGCCTCATGCTCTGCCAGGGAGGAGGGGAAGCTGGGAGGAAGGAGAGACAGGACACCTGACCCAAACTGACCAAAGACGTATTCCATACCACAGCACGTCATGCCCAGGAGGGAACAGAGAGTTACCCGGAAGGGCTAGGGGCACTGCAGGGTTGGAGGAGGTATCGGTCAGTGCTTGGTTGGGCTGGGGGGCGAGTTATCGGTCAGCTGGTGGTGAGGTGTTGTATTCTCTTCCCTTGTTATTTCCTTTATCATTATTATTATTGGTGGTAGCAGCAGTGATGTGTGTTATACCTTAGTTACTAAACTGTTCTTATCTCAAACCGTGGGAGTTGCATTCTTTCTGATTCTCCTCTCCGTCACTCCGGGAATAGGAGGAGGGCAAGCAGGTGGGGGGGGAGTGAGTGAAAAGCTGTCTGGCTGGGGTTAAACCATGACATCATAATATCCTTATAAAATAATTATTTGTTCTTTTAGATTTAGGAACTTTCTCTACAAACTTGCTCTCCCCTCTTGTTTGCAATTTAAATACTAATCATAGCATCTGCACATTTGATTAAAATAAATTACAAACCTCCTCATTTAAGCTCTGCATCTGACTTTAGCAAGGTTTTGGTAGCTTTTTATGTTTCACTCTGATTGATCAGGAGAAGTAAAAAATGATCCTAGTATTTCTATTATTTGAGAGACATTTATTCTCTTCTTAGTAGCTGGTGCAGTGCTATGTTCCAGCTTTAATCTGAGAAAGATGCTGGTAACACACCAACGTTTTACTTGTTGCTATGTAGAACTTACCCTCATCAAGGACTTTTCTGTCTCTCGTGCTCTGCCAGTGAGGAGGGGCACAAGAAATCAAGAGGAAGCAGAGACAGGACACCTGACCCAAACTAGCCAAACGGGTATTGCCTACCACAGCACATCATGCCCAGTATGTAAACTGGGATGGTTTTCTGGGAGGCAGATTGCTGCTCAGGGATGAGCTGGGCATCAGTCAACATGTGGAGACCAATTGTGCATAATTTGTTTTCCTGAGTTGTATTCTTATCACAACTTTTTTGTTGTTGTTGCTGTTGTTATTGCTATTATTTACTTTATTTAAACTACTAAATTTTTCTAATCTCAGTTCATGGATTTTTCTGATTCTCTGTCCCATAGGTGGGGGCATGGTGAGTGAGTGGCTGCGTGGTACTCGGTTGTCAGCTAAGGTTAAACCACAATAATTGCCTAATACTTCTAGTACTCATGAGGAATTCAGTAATAATTTCCACATCTAATATAGTAAAGATCATGTTATAGCAATAATTCACAATTACTTGAGTTATTATTAAAATATGCTAGCATATTTCCTTGAAAAACATATAGACTTCAACAGTGAATGTTTCTGGGGTTTAGTGATTGTTGGTTTTGTTTGTTTGCTTGTTTGTTTTATTTTTTTGTTTATTAGGGGGCATGTCAAAGGTTTCCTTGCTTTTCATTTTTTTTGTTTTTTTTTGTTTGTTTGTTTGTTTGTTTGTTTTTAACTCCATATCACTTTGCTTAATGACTGCCAAATGTTTCAACCCATGTATTACAGTTAAAAATCCCAAACTGCTTTCCTAACAGTCAATATCATTTAGAGCTAGCTGTTCTCCATGTTGCAGAAAAGATTGTATTTCTTCACTTTTGACATGGCAGAATATGAAGCAGATTCCTTGCCTCATTTACCAAGAGCAAGCTCTACCATTACCAGCACAGAATGTGAAAGTTGGATATTTAACAGAATGAAATGTTAACATTAAGGCCTCTATTGTGGCTTAGATAGCATTGTAGCAACTCTTGCCTCTGGGATATAATTCGTACTTTGTAGATTTACGCATGCAAAATGTCTTTTTTTTTCATTTTCCAAGATGAGTGTTAGCTGTTTCCATCAACAACATTTAATTTTATATTTGTTAAGAACTACAAGGAGTATTATGTAAATGCTACTATGCTTAAATTCTGTACACTATATAGAAAGCTATATTTTCACCCAAAATATTACAGAGCATGAAAGCAATGCAGAATAGAGCATTTCTATTTGACATTGACTTTTTAAAAGATAATATACTTTCTAAGAATAATAGTATGAAAAAGAAAAAAAAGTTACAAATTTTAGTAGAACAAGGTATGTGTGTATACTCACAAAATCATGCAATACAGAGATCTGAGTGAAAAGTAATTACATTTGCAAAGATTTCAGATGCACAGAATACTGAGAATTTAAAACATGCATACATATCTCCAGGTTTTTTTGTGACACTTTTTTCATTATGAGTTTGGTGAGGCACTGGAAGAGGTTGCCCAGAAAATTGCTCAAGGCCAGGCCCAATGGCACTTTGAGCACCCTGGTCTAGTAAAAGGTGACCCTGCCTATGGCAGGGGGTCAGAACTAGGTGATTTTTAAGGTCCCTTTCAACCCAAACCATTCAATGATTCTGTGATTCTACTATTAGGGGAATTTTCAAAGTGTTTGTCCATGGAGTAATTTTGCCTTTTCCAAAATCATCATTAAACCCTTGACTTTAATAGGATTAAAATACATAATTCCACATGAAGCCTATTGGACTGGGACACACTTTGGACAATGCAAGTGTCCTGTTCCTCTAGGTTTGTAGTGAGGGTGTGATCAGGTCTCGGGAGGAACAGACAATGATCTTCCTTACTAAAGAAAGACATGATATGTCACTGTGCCATGTAGTTATGTTCTTGCATCTATTCTACCTTAAATTAATCTGTGACAATTTGCAGGAAAGGTTCAGATGGAGTTATGGCAAATAAAATTCTTTCCGTGCTATGTTTCTACACTTTTCCAGCCAATGAAACATATCTTAATTGCCGTCTTCCAATCTATCTCACAGGTCTGTATAAAGCCAACAGAGCTCTGAAATGTCCCTTTAGACTGATTTGTACAACTTTTTAATTGAGAATGTTTTGAATTTTATTTTTGGGGGGTTTGAGGGGTATTAATCCTGCAAAATTCGGTGGAGCTATTTGAATGAAAAATGTTGCAAGGCCAACAGTTCCAGTTAAAATAAAATGCTTCAATTTTTAAATGGCTAAAATATTTGAATAAATGTTTAGTATTTTATTTTTATTATACTGTATTGTGATTTTGTATTTATTACATAGTTTCATTATTTTGAATTGTTAGACAAAAGTATGTAGGCTTTTGTGACTATAAGGGAAATAATCACACTTTCGTGTAATGAAGTAATTTAAGTTTTTTTCTGGTTTGTTTTTTTCTCACAAATGAAAGTCTACAGGATGCCTTTCCTATTACAGGGCTGTTTTTTCAATGTACTTTTGAATTACAGATATGAATATATCTGCTGTTAGTAATCTTGTACCATAATCACAATAGCTATTGCCCTCAATTTATTACTTTCAAAGCAATTCATAGTCTCTACTTTTTTAGGTTTTTTTTGTCCTTGTTTGCTTCCTTCCTTCCTTCCTTTGTCTGCCTACTTGGTTACCTGTTTGCTTGTACTGGGGATCCGAGATCTGGACTCAGCACTCCAGCTGTGTTATTACTACTGCTGAGTAGAGGGCAAGATCACATCCCTTGGCCTGCTGGAAACTCGCTACCTAATGCAGGTTAGGATGCTCTTGATCTAGTTTAATAGTTATTAAGTGAAGCTCCATAATTTGTTTAATGTATGTTTTTTTATGATATTTGCTATTCTGCATGCTAATTTTGCTATCTGATACTTACCTAAAAAGGGTATCTTGCATGCTTTTTTATTTGAACAATGCAGTCACTTATGTAGTCAACACAAACAAGAGGGCTGTCCCAGATGTCCAGGTGGTTATCATGGAAGGAAATAGAATATACAAAAGACACTATCATAACAGGAACAAAAAGTTTCTTGTTTAGAGCTGAGAGAGAGAGAGGAAAAAAAAAATAGCTCAGTTCTACCAAATTGCATTCCATTTACTAATAACTTAAAAGAAAATATATCAGTTGGTGACATATGAGAAAGTTCAGTTAGACAGCAAGGACCCAAGTACAATGATCAGTAGTTTCCTCATTAGTATGACCAAAAATATCCTTGCTGTCAAGAGAAGGAAGAGTACACCCTATTTAACCTGAACTGGGGTTGTTTTTATTTCCAGTTATAAACTGCTTGTGTTAAAAAAAAAAAAACAAAACAAAAAACCGAACAGTGTTGATTCCTGTTGATTTGCACATCATCGTCTCTTTTCAAAATGTGGTAGGCAAGCCCCAGAAGCTCCCAGATACAGCTCCTGCTGTAGCATTTCAGGTTATTCTATAATCACCTTGAGAGAAGATTCAGAAAATGCCCTAAATCTCATCATACCATGTTTATTCAGTCAACTTTTCCTTTACATGCCTGAAATTATTTTCTTTGAAGGCATGACAATGGCTTGATAGTAAATTCAGTTCACTGATTTTAGGATGACAGCTGAAAGCAAGGTGTCACCTGCTCACCATGACAGTCTGAATTTG